TAACGCGCAAACGATCAAGAACGCCGGCCCTCTCCCTCGGATCGATGATCTTCTCGAGCGACTAGGCGGCGCCAAGTACTTCTCGAAGCTTGACCTCAAGTCCGGATATCATCAGATTGAGATCCAGCCAAGAGACCGGTACAAAACCGTGTTCAAGACGCGATATGGGCACTTTGAGTGGACCGTCATGCCTTTCGGTCTCACCAATGCCCCGACTACTTTCCAAGCGGCCATGACGACGGAATTCCGCAACTTGCTCGACCGCACCGTGCTCATTTACCTCGATGATATCTTGGTTTATAGCCGGACGCTAGACGAGCACCTCGACCACCTTCGCGTCATATTGGAGCGGCTTCGTATAGCCAAGTACAAGGCGAACCACGACAAGTGTGAGTTTGCCCAGCAAGAGCTGGAGTACTTAGGCCATTACATTACGCCGCAAGGCATTCGTCCGCTCGCGGACAAGGTACAAGCTATTCAAGATTGGCCGGACCTCAAGTGTACTACCGACGTCCGCTCCTTTCTCGGCTTGGCATCATACTACATGCGCTTCGTCAAAGGATTTCAACGCATCGCTGCACCATTGTCGCGACTTCAGTCCCCCTTAGTGCCCTTCGAGTTCAGCGACGAGGCCCGGCATGCGTTTCACACGCTGAAGACGACTTCGCTTCAAGCTCCCGTCTTAAGCATCTATGACCCGACTTTGCCCACCAAAGTGACTACGGACGCTTCCGGTTACGGCACTGGTGCGGTTTTGGAACAGCATGACGGCACAGACTGGCATCCGGTTGAGTACTTCAGCCAAAAGGTGCCGCCCATCAACACTCTTGATGATGCGGGGAAGAAGGAACTCCTAGCTTTTGTCACTGTACTTAAGCGTTAGCGTCACTTTCTCCTCGGGCGTCGGCGATTCACGTGGACAACGGACAACAATCCGTTGACGTATTACAAGACGCAAGACAGTGAGCAGCACGATCGGTCGATGGATGTACTTCATTGACCAGTTCGACTTCACCTCCAAGCACATTCCGGGCTCCTCGAACAAGGCAGCGGATGCTCTCTCGCGAAGACCTGATCTTTGCGCCTTGGTGCACTCCACATTCGTCCTCGACGAGAACCTGCAACAGCATTTCGTAAATGGCTACAAGTCGGATCCGGGATTCTCCACACTCTATGCGGACTTATCATCGGACCAACCGCAGGCAAGCTACTATCGCATTGTCGACGGCTACTTGCTTCTTCATACACGAAGCAAGGACTTGTTGTGTGTTCCCCAAGACCGCATCTTGCGCACTCGCCTCCTTGGCGAATACCATGATTCGCGGCTGGCAGAACACCTTGGCGTCGCACGCACACTAGCACGACTCCGCCAGCGATTTCACTGGCCGGACATCATTAGCGACGTCAACCGGTATATTCAGTCATGTGCAGTTTGCCACCGGAACAAAGGGCGCCATCAGCTCCCTTACGGCGAACTGAAACCATTGCCGATTCCTCGGGCACCGGGTCTCTCCATTGCTATGGATGTGACCGGTCCTTTCCCTCGCGATCGCCTTGGTCATGATGGTATTCTCACAGTCGTTGACCGTTTGAGCAAGTACACTCGATTTCTTTCATGCAAGTATCATGCGACGGCTCCCGAGCTCGCACGACTTTTGCATACCGGCTGGTTTTGCAGCCACGGCGTTCCGGAAGACATCGTCAGCGACCAACACTCTTTTCATGTCGGCCTTTTGGACGGCACTCATGGTGGAATCCGGCACCAGCATGAAACCGAGTTCCGCACGACATCCTCAAACAGATGGGCAAATGGAACGTGCGCACCAGACTGCGCAGATGATGCTCCGCACGCTCATCCGCCCGGATCAGAAGGACTGGGTTGACCGCCTTCCCGACATCGAGTTCGCCTACAACACTTCGGTGCACCCGACGATTGGCGTGACTCCATTAGAGTTGCACCACGGTGGACGGAAAGGACGTATCTTCGCAGACATTTTGCTTCCACGGGCTGCCAATATAGACGCCGCTTGCTGCCCCGCTTCTACACGGAAGTACAGGGAACTGCTGGCCAAAGCCCGCGCAAGCATGCAAAAGGCTCGTATGCAGCAGCAAGCGAACCGGCGTCGCATCCCATGTCCAATTCGTGCTGGCGACCTAGTTTGGGTCGCCTCCGAGGAATTCGCGCTCGAGCAGGACGTCTCGCGCAAGCTCCTCCCTAAGTGGCTTGGACCATGGATGGTCACTTCAGCAGCTGGCGACGACCCCGCGGGTCCATCACTCATCGTTGAGATTCCCCCGCATTTGACGGTCCACCCGATCTTCCACGCTTCAAAGCTGGCGGTTTACACTCCAGCCTCCGCAGCGGATTTCCCGGGCAGACGGTCACAAGACCCTCATCAGGAGGTCGACCGCGTTCTCACGCATCGCAAGCATGGCAACAAGCCGATGCAGTACAATTCAAGCAATGCGATCCGAACGACACACGCTGGATTTCAAGAGCTGATCTGAAGGCGACTGCACCCCTCATCTTCGTGCATTACGAAAAACAGCGACTTGCGAAGGAAGCTGCCCAACCTGCCCGCCCTGTACGAACATCGGACAGACAGCTTCGCCCTCGCAGTTAGCTCGGTCTTTCAAGGGGGGGAGTGTGTGGCATACAGAGCCACACGGGCCCCAGTTAGGGCCCGGTTCCCAGTAGGCAGGATAGGCCTAGGGGGACGACGGTTCAGACCAGGCCCAGATAGGCCTGAGGCAGGGCACGTTTAGGCCCAAACGGGCAGAGGCCGGTACCGGAACAGCCCAGGACCAACCGGTGGCGTTTCAGAGGCTGCCACATTTTGGCGCCAAACCCAGTTTGAATCTGGACCGTCGATTCAGATCAATGGTCCAGGCTGGTAGGTACCAGTAGGCAAGAGGCCGGCCCAGCACTACAAAAGGCTGGGTACCAGCCTCAGTCCAGTAGGTTAGTATGGACGAGGTTAGTCTTCAGGATTAGCGCAGCAGCCAGCGTTAGCTCGATTAGCGCAGCGCTGCAGCAGCAAGGAGCAGCGAGACAGCAAAGTTCAGCGGCGAGCAGGATTAGTGCAGCGTTGGCTATAGCGCCAGTTAACGGCCCAGCCCTTGCAGCGCCATAGCCAGGTATCAGGGAGGAAGGCTTCGCCTTCTCTCCCTCCTTTCCTCTACTGCTCCCCTCTCCTCTCTCTCTCTCTCTCTCTCTCTCTCTCTCTCTCTCTCCTCCTACCTTCTCGGTCTACTTCTACTTCTCCTACGGAACTACTTGGGTATGGGAGATGGTTACGAGTTTTGATGACATCTGAGACAGCGACATTGGGACTACGAGTTGAGGACTATTTGGGATCTGATTTCATCTTCCTTCTGAAGGYGTACTTGACGTTGTGAGATCGATATCTGAGATATTGTGAGACTTGACATTCGCGACATTTTGGATTTTCGTCACTTCTGACAATTCAAGATACTATC